AGGGAGTCAGGTGCCGCGTGCTCAGGGCAGAGCCCTGGGTGCTCGGGGCGCTGGGGACAGCGGCTGTGACACGTGGGTGCCCTGTGCAGGGTGCTGGTGGCGCTGGCACCTAAGTCCTGCTGGCTGCAGGATGGGGGAGGGTGCTGGTGGCACCAACTTGTGAAGGTGGTGATGCCAGCAGCTGTGTCCCTTGAGCTGGCAGCGCTGGTGACAGCAGCCTTTTCTGTCATTCTGCGAGCCCCCCGCCCTGGCACCACTCTCTGTGTCCCCCCTGGCGGTGTCCCCACGGCAGCGGGGCGAGTTTGGGGGTCCCCACGGCAGCCCTGAGCCCGTGTCCCCTCCCCAGCGGCGCGGCATGAAGGGCAAGGCGCGGAAGCTGTTCTACAAGGCCATCGTGCGGGGCAAGGAGACGCTGCGCGTGGGCGACTGCGCCGTGTTCCTGTCGGCCGGGCGGCCCAACCTGCCCTACATCGGCCGCATTGAGAGCATGTGGGAGTCCTGGGCCAGCAACATGGTGGTCAAGGTCAAGTGGTTCTACCACCCCGAGGAGACCAAGCTGGGCAAGCGCCAGAGCGACGGCAAGGTGAGGGCAGGGCTGGCTCCGGGGGCAGGGAGCCATGTGCCGGCCTAGGGAGCCGCGTGCTGCGTCACGTGGCCACGCGTCAAGTAGCCACGTAACACGTCAGGTAGCCACGTGTTGATCCGTGTATCATCGCCAGGGAGCCATGAGGTAGCCACATACCAGGGTAGGTAGCCACATCCCGTGTCGTGTGGCCACGCGTGGCCATGCACCACATCAGGTGTCAAGTAGCCACATATCTACCTCAGGTAGCCATGCACCATGCCAGGTGGCCATGTCCCAGAGCAGGCAGCCATATCCCAGAGCAGGTAGCCATATCCCACAGCAGGTAGCCATATCCCACAGCAGGTAGCCATATCCCACAGCAGGTAGCCATATCCTGCAGCAGGTAGCCATATCCCACTGCAGGTAGCCATATCCCACTGCAGGTAGCCATATCCCGCAGCAGGTAGCCATATCCCACAGCAGGCAGCCACGTTCCAGCCCCGGCAGCGGCAGTGACGGCGCCTTGTCCCCGCAGAACGCGCTGTACCAGTCGTGCCACGAGGACGAGAACGACGTGCAGACCATCTCGCACAAGTGCCAGGTGGTGGGGCGGGAGCACTACGAGCAGCTGACGCGCGGCCGCCGCTGCCAGGACCGCCAGGACCTCTATTACCTGGCGGGCACCTACGACCCCACCACGGGGCGCCTGGTGACCGCCGACGGGGTGCCCATCCTGTGCTGACCCCCGGGGTGCCCACCCTGTGCTGACCCCGCCCTGCTCTTATGCAAAGGGTGACATTTGGGGACATTGGGGGCACATCAGGGGACGTGGTGGGGGAGGGGGGCTCCCCTACAAG